AGTAAAAGAAAAACTACACAAATGGTTTACAGTTTTAACCACAAATCTCATATTTTTTTTAAAATAGATTCTTAAAATAGATGCATTAATTAAAACAAAATCACTAGAAGAGGCACATGGTGTTTAGTGGATGACATTAATTCTATAACCCAAACAAGGAGACTAATCCACTCTGAGTAGCTAAATTATTTTTTGCACTATTTACATACTTTACTGAAGTATTTTCATCCCAGAGCCTCAGCAAGCATCTTAGAATATTAATGAGGAAGCCTGGCTGCAGGCCAGAGTTATCAAGTAAGAAAGTAACATCATTCCCATATTATCAACAGGGAAACTGAGGCACCAGGTATATTCAGATCCAGGAAACTGCAGAAAGAAAAATCCTGGATCTTAATTCTGTTAGCTGCGTCATGATGGAGAGACTGTTCTTCCTCCTTGTTGTGTGGCTGGTGACCCTGCTGGGCACTGTTTGAAACCTGGTGAGTAGCTTTTTTTCATGTTTAGATTGCTGCAAAATAGGTGACATCTATCCAGCTGTAGTGTCATCATGAACACCTTTACTAAAATAAAAAAACATTAATGGTTTTCCTTTTCAGATCAAAAACCAGCAGCAGCAAAAAGTGCATCTTCAATCCCTCCAAAGCCTTTGGAAGGCTGTCTTGTTCTACCCAAAATACTGCAATTGCTCCCTCAATCTGCACAGTAACAAATACTGAATAACTCTGAAAGACAGAATTGCACTATTTATTATTTCTAAAATGTTAAATTTTTGGGCATTGTGAACATTTTTGGTCAATCAAGTATTTGAAAGAAGTTAATTGAGATATTCTCAGCCAGGATGTGACCTTTAGAAAACATGAAGTGTTCCACATGGTCCATAATCCCCAGGATTTTACTTCCTATAACAGCAAAATATACCATATCAATAAAGGTCACTTGAAAAGACCTTTAAAAATAACTTGTCAATAATGTTTGCTGAATGACTAAAGGAAATAAAAGCTTGTTGCAGATCTGAGATTACATGAATTCACAAGTTAAGGAAAACCTAAAAAGCCAGGACTTAAACTCTGGATAGAAGCATCCAGCACAAATCCAGCATTTAAGGCTATTATCAAGCATGCATAATTTAGTCACAGGCATCTCACTATTTACATTTTGGAAAATAAAACTTCTTCAAGTGGGAATAAAGTCATGGGCTGTTGCTGTCTCACAGCAGCAGGAGCAGGCCAGGCAGCAGGGCTCAGGACAGCTGGGAGCACAGGTGGCCCAGCACCCTGGGGCACAAAAAAACCACTCTTGTCCATGGTATCCAGTGAGATTCTGGCCAGCACCATTTGCCTGGAAGGTGTCTGATCCCACAAGCAGCACCCCCAACTCAGCACTGGGAAAAGGCTTTATCATGCTACAGCATCATAAAATAAGCAAATAAGGCCTCACTTTCTTCAGGGAGGTAGATGTGGGTAAATGGGTAAATGTGCTGCTTCTGTGGTTACAGGAGCATCCTCTGCCCTGGCATCTGGGCTGGCTGAGAAACTGGTCCAATAAATTTCTCCTTGTGGACCTGACCCAAAAGTGACAAACCTCCTTCTGCATCACAATCACAAATATAGCACAGTGATTTAGGCAACATTTCTTGTTTTCAGCCTCAAAATACTTCTGGAATCTTCCCCATTTATTTTCCTTGATTATTGTTGGTACCTATCAGGGACTCCCAAGAGACAAATTCTTTGCTGGCCAAGGAAAGGATGCACAATGGTTTTATTTAGCAATATGTCCTGGAAGCAGTCCTGGCTCTGGAAGTTTTTGGGGGACTTCCCTCTTGTGTTTTCACAGAGCTTACCTATATCCTTAGAAGCTTTCAATGGTATATCAGTCCCACTGCATTTAGGAACTTCCAAAAACCTGGGGTATCTCAGTTTGGGGTGTGCATTCAGACAGCAGTAAAGCCTCAAATACCAATGGGCAAAGCAGCAGCAGTTTGAGTACAAACAGGGATCCTGTGGTTAAAGGAGCTTTGTCATCACCCACATAGATGGTGGAGAAACACCTCATTTCCCTGGCCTGAGACAGTCTCTGTGGGAATGAAGAACCTGCCAGGACCTTCTCTCCCATATGTCCCAGACGTGTTATGTGTGTTCTGCAAGATTACACATTTCCCCTATACCACCTGACAGAGAAGGACATACAGGTTAAAAACATGAACAGTTTTTAAGTGAATGTAAATAAATATCCAGATGCAAAGTGCCTTAGTTTATCTACCACCATCTCCCATTTTCAGAGAACACATTCTGGTTCAAGGCAGGAAGTATTTGAATGCTATTCAAAAAAAGTCAAGGCTGAAGCTTCAGGAGATTTATCAGCACAGTCCCAGGCTGATAAGTATAGAGTGTCACATATAAATACAAAAACACACACACTTAAATTATATATATTAGTTTTATCTAGATTTATATGCACATGTATAACTGTATAAATTAAATATACATATGTGTTTGTATATACAGACACACATGCATGAATGTCAATAGTTCCTCAGCTGAGAAACCTAAACCCAAGTCTCTGAAAGCATACAATTATTTGGATGTTCTTAAGTATAAACAATATATTCTGATTGGAGTTTTCATAAATACGCATTAAAATTCTCAATGGTAGTCACCCTTGTGGGAATAATAATACAGTTCCATTAGTTGCAAACTATAAATACAGGCTTTAAAAATTACTTGAAGAGCAGGTATAGCCAGTGTAAGTAACTTCCAGGACAAACAGAAGGGATCAGAACTGAGAATTGATCAGAATTGAGCATGTGGCTCCCTAACAAAAGTAAGTGCACAGGGCCTCTCCAGCCCTCCCTACTGGCCAGAAGGGCCTTTTAAAAGCTTTTTTAAATTGTGATGGCAGACAATTTGGTAAGAGGCAGAAAAAGGTCATGTTGCAAAATCCAACAAAACCTCTCAAAGTTGGAGACAATGTGTTATGTATCTCCTCCCTAGGATATGAGGGCAATCTTTTCAGTCTATCTACATGTCTTTTTCTGCTCAAAGTTTCTAAATATGCTTTTAAGATTGCTTTATAAAAACACACAATATGACAGTTCACACAATACTATGTTTTGTTTCAGTTAGATTAAAATAAAGAATGACACCACTGCATCTTTAACATAGAGTTTCCAACTACAAACATGAGGATGGGTGATGTGTCTTGAGGTATCAGTTCTTTCCTATCCATTCCATAAAAGACATTCCTATGGTAATGTGATGAATTGCCTCAGTAGTACTGAGTACTACTCCCCCCATATCAGGGCAGGTGTGTCAGCAGCAGTGAAAGATTTGGTGTAGAAGAAACAAGAAAATTCAGGGTAGAGATGTAATTGGTATAGAGGCAGCATATCCAGGCTTGCAAGCGACACAAAATTTAGGAAGAATATGAACTTGCACTTATTTGTTACAGCATACCCCATCTTATCAAGTCTCTTTTCCCATCCATTATTTAGATCTTAATCCTGTGCAGCTTCAAGTACCTTAAAGCTCCTATTCAGGGCTCTCTTTTGGGTAAAACCATTAGCTTTCAATGAACCAGACTGAGCAACAATCTGATAAAAAAAAACTCCTGGAGGCTGAATGTCAACACATAGCTAGATCAGAGAATAGAAAAAACATACAAAACTAAAACACACTACTGAGGAGTTACGAGATTTTAGCATGGACAATATCAGGAGTTTCTTAAAGAAGCATTTGATTTTTTTTTTGTGCAAGCAGCATTGTAAATGACAGAAGTAGTGCAAGATCATTGAAGTGCCCACTTCATGTGACATCATAAAATGACTCTGCATAGCCCATTAACTTTGTCTGTAGGCCAGTTTTCCAGGGAAATTCTAATCCCATCAAATTTCCTGAACATCAAAGGTATATTTTAGAGAATCATTAAGGTTAGGAAAAAACTCCAAGATCATTGAGTCCAACTCTTGTCCAAACCTCATCCTATCAAATAAACCACAGCCCTAAGTGCCACGTCCAGCAATTTCCTTAATACTTCCAGGGATGGTGACGCCACCACCTGCCTCGGTAGCCTGTTCCAATATTGGACAACACTTTCAGTGAAGAAATTCTTCATCGTGTCCAACCTGAATCTCCCCTGGAGCAGCTTGAGGCTGTGTCCTCTCATCCTGGTTGCCTGGGAGAAGAATCCAACCCTCACCTCATTACACCCTCCTTTCAGGTGGTTGTAGAGAGCAGTAAGGCCTCCCCAAGCCTCCTTTTCTCCAGGCTAAACACCCCCAGCTCCCTCAGCTGCTCCTCACAGGACTTGTGCTCCAGACCCTTCACCAGCTGCATTGCCCTTCTCTGGACTCGGCTCCAGCACCTCAATGTCCTTCTTGTAGTGAGGGGCCCAGACTGGACATAGCACTCAAGGCGAGGCCTCACCAGTGCAGGTACAGGGGGACAATTCCTGCCTGGGGCTGCTGGCCACACCATTGCTGATACAGGCTGAGATTCCACTGGCCCTCTTGGCCACTTGGGCTCAGCTAGCTCCTGTTCTGTTTACCAGCACCCCACCCCTGGCAACTTTCCAGCTGCTCTTCCCCAGCCTGTGGTGCTGGCTAGGGTTGTTGTGACCCAAGGGCAGGACCTGGCACTTGGCCTATGCAGAACCCCATACAACCAGCCTCAGCCCATTGATCCAGCCTGTGCAGATCCCTTTGCAGAGCTTTCCTACCCTCCTGCAGGTCAACACTCCCACCCAACTTGGCGTTGTCTGTGAACTTACTGAGGGTGCACTTTGATCCCCTTGTCCATACCATGCTTAAAGATATTGAAGAGGGCTGGCCCCAATACTGAGCCCTGGGGAACCCCACTGGTAATCAGCCACCAGCTGGAGGTAATTCCATTCACCACCACTGTATGGAGCCAGAAAGCCAGACAGGTTTGAAGAAGAACAAATAAAGGCAAAATTTCACATATCCACGCACTGGTGGTACAGACAAATAACTGAGACCTCATGTCTTAAACTCAAAACACTATTGATGAAAGAAAACATGGTCCAGATGATAAAGTGCAATTATTATTCAAGTTGTGCTAAAAAGCATTCCAGTGCTTTTCTGAAGATTTTCCAGCTTTTTCTTCTTGGTGATTTCACACTGTAATTTTACTTCTTGGTGATTTCATTCAACTTTTAATTGTTTTTTTGCTTCTGTCCCCATCATTCCAGTACTGTTCAGTTTGCATTTCTGTGAGCCGTGAGAGAGTACGCTGAAAGGCGAAGACTTCCTCTTCTCCTGTAAACATGGAGAGTCCTTTGGCAGAATCCTACATCAGTACACAAAAACAGTACGACACACCTGTGAGACTCACAGCTGTACTGAAGTGCATCCTGTCTAACTCCTAAGGCTCAGTGCTTTACCAGCTTTGACAAAACAAGACAGCAGCATGGCACCAAAAAATTAAAACTGATGTCCAAAAATTAAAGAAAAGCACCTATTTCAGCTAGGTAATCTCCTGAAGAAATACAGCAAAATGAGTAATTTGGCTTTAAAACAACACAATAACAGGTTAACCATCTACTTTTCCTTTTTTGCTGACTAATTGTACACCAATTTAAACAAATTATTTAAAAAGTCCTTAGCAATAACTGAGCCACAGGGAAAAAGAAAAACAGAATAAGCAACACGCGAAGTAGTACTGTTTGTGAGGACTCATGAGGCTGTTCTGTAGTCTAGGAGGAGGTAGAACAAACCACCTTTTATTTGTGTATTTTAAATGTAGGTGCTAAACTTAAATCAGCATTTTTCATATATGACTGAACATATATAATGACTAATATTCAAAATAACCATAAAACTTACACAGAGTGGTTCTACATATAGTGACATTTTCTTTGACTGTAAGTAGCACAACATGTAATTATCAGAGTGACAGAGACACTGCAAAAAAGCAGCATATCAATAGTTAAATGTTTTCTTGATTCCCCCTCTTAAAATGCTGCTGCAATAATGAGACCAAACCCAATTTTGTTACAAAAGGGAGATGTTAAATTCATGTACCTGGCTCAAATCCAAATCATCCATCAACACTCTGTTGTCCTGCAGTTCACCACTGTCATGTTTCAGGAGGAACAGGCTTTGGAGAGGAGCTGCCGCAGAACAGATAATGCGCACCTGAGAGGGGGAGAGCAGGCAACACTATCATCCCTTGGGATTTACAGGAATGGGATAAAGTACTCGATCTATGCACAGCAAACTTCCAGTTAAATCATCAGTGCTTTTTCCCCAATGTTTTTCCTTTCTCTTATTAGGACTGCTGTTACAGATTTGCCTTTGTCAGTGGACTATTAACCTTACAGGATCTTTTTCTCAATAACAACAGATGTAACTTTTACTCAGAGAACAGAAGAACTGTGCTATCAAATATTCAGAATATTTGCTACAGAGGTAATGAGTTCACCATAAAGTTTGCTTTCTGAAATAACAGCTGTATAGTAAGCAATGCTTATTTTTCACCCATAGTAAGAGTCCTCTCAGTGGGTAGATACACTGCACTATTTAAGTAATATTTAAATTCTAAATTTCCCAGAAGACTGAGTGAAGCCTTTCCTGACTTCATCTGTGCTACTCCAGTAAGTTATTTGCTAGTAAAAATAATGATGCTGTTTTCATGACTGTTGGGAAGAGATACAACATGCAATGAGAGATGGGGGCTGCAATGAAGACAGACTGAAATAATACTATAGAAGAAGACTCTTATTGAGAGCATACAGGCAGGATGTTTGTGTTGTGGACAGGCATCCACAAATATACTCAGGTATTTTTCCCAACTACTTTTGATGGGAGTATAACCTTTTGTTTTTCCTGTGAAGGAAGTAATAGAAAGTGACTGCTTGCAATTCTTATTGACAGCACAAACCCAGGGCAGACCATTCCCCCTATTTCTAACACATTAGTTTAATATTAGCATATTGTCTTAGCAAATGTCCACTTCCCAACCATAAAGAATAAAGAATCTGGCTAATTTGAATGACACTGATTTGAATCTGGCTGATTTGAATGAGACTACTCATACAGTGACTTACTTCAATACCTTGCTGAGTTGGGGCCTTTATGATCAACAACCCATGCCAGAACATTCTTGGTAAGAACCAGCCTCAACTGACACTTCCCTACTGCATAAATGTTTAAGTGTGTGCAAATATAATCACATATAAGAAAGTGTTTCAAACCTTGCATCACTTAAAAAAAAAAATCACCTTAAACAGGAACTTCCTTTTGTTTTAGTTATGATTATTTTGCTTCCAAGATTGAAATCCCTGTAAATCCACACAAAGTGGATTTATCATTATTATTCCATGAGCAATTCTACAATCTAATGTAAAGCCTACACCAACTGTTTCCTTTAAACTTTATGATATAATTGTGCTATTAACTCCTCTTTCCTGATCAGAAAGGCATTGATTCCTGACCAACTGCCTGTACAACTTAAAACTAAAAAAACTCCATTTCACTCCAGCACAGTTGGCAGCACAATCTTTCATTATTAAAATAATGATATGGCTTCTGTTGTTTTCCTGGGTTAGGAAAGAACATCCCCATTCAAAAAAGGCAAATGAGCTCAGTCTTATATTTATACTCATGCTTAATACTCACAGAAACAACAAAAAAAAATTTGTTTATTTGCCTTTATTGAAATTGTACCTTTTTTTTTTTTTTTTTTTTTTTTTTTTGTTATGTTTTTTTTTTTTTTTTTTTTTTTTTTTTTTTTTTTTTTTTTTTGGTGAAGCTGGAATTATGTTTCTTTGCAGCACTACTTCATGATGCTTATATTTTCCAAACCACTACTACAGAAAGCCTTATTTCAAACTAATAGTAACAGTCAGTTTTAGGACTCCAAATATTATTCCTATACATATAGGAAAGGCTTGGTTCTCACCTTATGCTCATAAAAGGTATCAATAAGAGTAATGAAACGACGAGTTTGTGTCCTTTTTGCTATTGTAAGAAGTGGTATGTCACGAACAAACACTGTGTCAAAATGCTTTGATATTTCCAAATAGTCGCTGGCTCCAAGAGGCTGAAACAAAACAAACCATAAGCAATGGAAATCCATGACAGAATGACACATAAACACTGTATCTTGACATACTACAGTAACAGAAGAGAGCTGTACAGTCTTGATCATATTCTTACTTTTATTCCTTTGTATCTTGCTTGAGGAATGCTTGATTGCCCTTAGGGACACAGGTACCTGTGGGTGTTCATACTCCTGGCTTTACATGAACAGTGAGTGTTAAAAATGTGGCTCTTCTGCACTCAGACAACATTATGATCTCTCTCTGACAACCTCAAATGAAATAATCACTATAAACCATAATCCATAGAAGACAGGTGATTTCAACCTAAAGCATAAATAATTTGAATCTCTATTAGGATGCTTTCTAGCAGCAAGATTTGTAAATGCAAATTCATAGGCTAGTTACTAAATCCTAAGTAGACCTGCATTTAGTTCACCCAGGACTAACCCAGTCTGAGTAAATATCTCATTTTTTAGTATGGCAAACAAGAGGAAACAGACAAAAATGTAATTTTGCAGCAGTTCCTTTGTTCATGGCTTCTCCTGTAATGATGAAATAAAAATCTTCAAGAAGAACTCGTTAGTTTCTCTTTCGATATCTAAACCATTAACAGAAAACACAAATAGTAGTAGCTCATTCAAGTACGTTCCTCTAAAATTACATTTCCATTACATGGAAGGTATTTTTTTCTGCAAGATCTATCAGTAACACAGGCAATACTTCATCATGAGCTATTAAAATTTTTACTCCAGAACTCATTTCATCCATTTTACTTGTACAAATACTTCAGAATCTTGTCTGCAGCTATTCCAGAGAACAAGTTCAGCAGCATTTTGCATGGTCACAACTCCCCAGGTAATCTATGCACCATGTGCTGTACCAAGTGCAATACTGTTATAAAGCACTACAATACTGGTATTACCTTGAAACCAGTAGATATAATTTTCTTTAACTGAAATTATGAGACTAATTTGTTGTTACGCCACAAATAACTTCTTAGCTAGCACACTTCTGAAAAATGTTATTTTAAGCAATTATTAATAGCTACTCATGGTCAGGACTTTGGGTTTTGCTTAGATGCCAGAATAAAAAAAAACTTGTAGAAATGGTCTTTACACAAGCACAGGAGAGAGAAGCCCTGATGGCATTCCAAAAGTTCTTCTGAAAATTAATGGGACTAAGCTAACCTTCCAGGTGGGTATTAAAGCCTTTCACTCTCCACCAGCTCTCCCACTTGCAGTCTCATTAATCACCCTGCTTTCCCTTTCCCAAGCATGCAACTTCCCTGTAGCATCTATGGAAAAGAATTATTACAAAGCCTTTCAATTATTTTGAGCAGTGTTTAAAAACACTATATGCTGTATTTTCCCCTTAGAATTATATTTAATGCTTATTTTCTTCCTCTATTTCAGTCCCCTAGTTACTGCTATGGACTTAGTCATCAGAAACCAAAAACTTATCATTATGAGGGCCACCAGCAAAGCTTTATAAAACACCTCTGGAAAAAACAAAATCCTATTTGGATAAACCAGAGTAGCTGAACTTGAAATGTTCTGATGAAATAAAGCAGGAAAAGGTTCAAGAAAGTAGAAGGAGTTGATGGATGGAAACAACACACAGCAAACTTACTGGACACCTTGCCACCAGATACAAGTGATACATCTGGACAGCCAGAGTATCAAGTGCAAAAGAAAAACAATGGGAATACTAAAAGCAACACAACCAGGATGCTGCTGGAGATTTTAAGACTAGTGATAAGCAAATAGTTTTGGTAACTGTAATTTTATTCCATACTTAGGACTGAAGTACTGTTAAACACAGAGGAGATCAAGTATGCCTATGTGATGAGTACCTGTGAGAGAGAACACCAGTGATCTCATTGTACAGGAGAAAGGTAAGAATTTCTCATGTCTCCCCTTAGGTAAGAAATTACAGAAATCACTGCTATGCTGATTCATTCTTTAATCACATGAAGAGCCCAAGCAGTCTTCTGCCAAAACCCAAAACCCTGAGGAATTATTCTGCCCTGACCCAGTGTGACACATTTTCTCACACAATACACCCTCCTCATCTCAAAGTACCAGATATTAAAAGGTGATTCCTAAAATAAATAAATATATAATTAAAAATTACAGTGTACAAACTTGCAAAGTAGGCACACTGAAGTGCCCAACTAATGAGCTCTACAGCTAAGAACTTGGTATGTGCCTTGCTTGGTGGATAGCCAAACAGGAAAATAAAAAACTTAGGTAGTCAGAGGGGAAAAAACAGAAGACAAAAATAAGGCTAATGCATTTCAAATGGGAAGAATGGAAGATGTAATACGTATACTGCTCTTCATATAGACATAAAATCACAGTTCATAGAAGGTTATAATATGCATCTTTATCAGTCAAACAGGAATTCAATCTACTTCAGCAGTGCGAAAAGCAAGCAATTCAAGAATTAATCTAATTACATAAAAGGCAGAACATTTCAAGCTTTAACAAGAACTTCTGAAACACCTACACCAAAACTAAGTGATAATATTCTGTGAATGTTGGCAGAAACATGCCTTTGGAGACTCCAAAATCTTACACTCAGAAAGATCTGAGTCTAGCAGCATGACTACTTTATTAGAGTAAATTTTGTATCTCCTTGACAAGACTCAAGTCTAGTGAGACAACTGAAATGCCGAGTCAGCCGTTCTCCTGTTATATATGGCTCAGCTGATATCTGCTGTAGTCCCTTACACAGAAGAGTTCTCAAAACTTCCTGCTTTTGTAGTTTAGAGACAGTCCTAGAGATGAAAGACAAAGCTTTTAATCTTGTTCCTAACATGATTTACTCTTGTCTTGGGAAGTCCTGTAATTTCCTCCTGTCTTATTCAATGTAAAAAGAAGAAACCACCAGCAAGTTTGCAAATGCTCTGGTGACAGATTAGAGCCCTTTTTTGTATCCCTCTGTCCTTGCTATTGGCCCAGTTTCTGTGCTCCCTGTAATTGCTTCAAAGCTGGTGTAACCCACCAGCTAACTCAAAATGCTCCAAATGCAAGGGACCATGATTCAGGGGCATCCTGACAACTCCTCAACTCACATTCTCACTGGCCTATTGCCCCCCAAACCTGGCATGAGGCTGGCACAAGCACCAACATACCACCTCTGCCACACAGGAACAGAGACAGGGAAATGGGTTTGAGGCCAGATTGCGCCATTGCTAGAGGCTCTGGCTGTACAGTCCATATACAGAAGCTCCACTGAGGAGCAAATATCTGCTGTTCCAGCAGCCCTCCCCTGCCTTCAGAGCACTGCATTCCTGCCTTCAGGCCCTTCTTCCCTCACCTTGCAGCAAGTGCTGTCGGGGTCCCAACTGCCAGCAACACGAGCTCAGACCAGGCTACAAGACTAGAGACACATGATTTTAGACATATAGCATTGTCCTCTGTATAACTCTCCAGGGCTGAAATTTATTTTGTGAATCTCAACCAATCACAGAGAGTATTTCACTTTAGTTAGCAGCATACATGAAGGTATTTCTTTCTCTGAAGTTGCTAATGAAGCCATAAATCCTCCTAATACTGATACATATATATGTAATCCTCTTACTAAAAGTTTAGCCTTATTAATCTCATCCTCTGAATAACATTGTAAAAATAACTTCATTCGGTATGTGTTTCTGGTGCTGTCTGATCTCTTTTGTTTCACTGATTATTGATCAAAACTCAACAGCAGAACAGCAAGACATTAATGTAATGACTGTCATTTACCATTTGTTACCAGGTCTTTCACATGCTATATTATTTTAAAAACTCAAAACATTAACAGGTAAGAATCTTTCTTATGGTATTATTATTTCTGCATGTGTATATACTGTAAAACTGTTGTGGATTTTTGCCATTAGCTCTGATGCCAAGAGTCAGTATTTTACAGGCATCATACTAATGCAAAACGCATTAGCACTAACATGGCCTACACTCCTGACAAAGTGTTTATTCCACTTCAACCTGCTTGACTGAGTTCTCAGTTTTATTTGGTTTTGTTTTTCTGTTGACTTAATGCATTTACAACTACCATCATCTCAGTTCAAGTAGGATGTTTATTATTTGGAGCTCTCTGTAGGCTGTTTTAGTTAGTCATCTCCTGTTTCTATTATATAGTTCATTTAATTATAGTATAAAGCATATCTTTTTCTTTGTTGACTCATCAGTGGCCTAGGATATCATCTTTAAGAGATTGTCTGAAGAATACAGAATGTTTTGTGTAAGACAGAAAAGGATATGTCATCTCAATATGTATTTTTTGTTGATGTTGCAAGATATTCTAGGGCCAGTTCCAGCCTATCCTGAAGACTTGTCATTGACAGTAACTATAATTTTGTGCCAACATTCTTACACTCCAAAACTTCCTACAGACAACACTCAGTTTAAGATCAGATAATATTTACAATTCAATCATTAAGTATAAAAAAAAAAAAAAAAAAAAAAAAAAATTAAAAAAAAAAAAAAAAAAAAAAAAAAAAAAAAGCTCTGTTGTTTCCAAATGAACAACACACTGTCACTAGTGAGGCTCATAAAACAGAGCACTGAGGTAATGTGTCAAGATAATAATTCCAAGAAAGGAACAGGAAAACCCAAGGCATGATATATGATGCCACAGTATGCTAAAGTTTAAATAAAAATGGGAAGAGGTAGGACATGGCTAACTTGATTTAAAAAAATTAAAGCTACTGATGGCAGTGCAAATCTCAGAACCGTAGAACAGTCTGGGTTGCAAGATCCCTTAAAGATCATCTAGTTGCAACCAGGAGAGCAGGAATCTAAGATCTGTAAACCCTGGAGTGAAAGATATTTTGTGTACCAACCACAGCCCCTTGCTATCTCAGGTTATCTCACCACAGAATCCTGCTAAGAAGTAATTTTCCTTGTTCTTACAACAGAAGTTTTTAGTCACATTTTTCATAGTGGAAAGCTGTTTCAAATCTTCGCTCTTCTGCTTAAGAAGTTGCTTGTAACTTCCCTTT